GGACCCCTCTCCCCCAGCCAACTGGTGTAGTCACTCACGCATTTCATATCTCTCAGGTTGGTAAATATGAAACTATAACAATTTACAAAACAGGTGAGGTGGAGTAAATGCATTAATATGTAAAAAACTGAAATGGTATGTACACCTACCACAATCAATCATCTGCCATCAATTAAAATCTGCTAAAGAAAAGGAAATAGTAGAAGGAAGACGTACAGTAAATGGTCCTTACCTGTATATTACACATCCCTTACTCTAATGGAGAACAACAGTTATTCCAGAGAGATAATTATTTGAACATTCACATAAGTTAGCAACACTTATTCCAGAGAGATACTAATGGAACATTTACAGTTTAATTTAAATGACAGTGCAAACTACTTACAGTACTCATAAAACAGTGCATATCTGAAAGCGGTACTTATTATAAAGAGCAACTCTTATTCCAGAAAGATACTTATTTACAGTTAAATAACAGTGCCAAATTGCTGATAAAACAGTGCATCCAAAAGCGGTACTTAATAGATGGCAACACTTATTCTAGAGATACTTATTGGAACATTTACAGTAAGTAAAAGCAGTTGGTGCATCGGTTGTGGCTTGGACTCCCAACCTCGAGGTCGGGGGTTCGAAACTCTCGCTGTGCAAATCGCTTGTCCTTGGGCAAGGCACTTTATCTACAGTACGGTTGCCTCTCTCCACCCAGGTGTACAAGTGGGTACCTGGTAGGTTCGAACACAACTGCGCTGATTACTAGCTGCAATATTATGGAATTCTCCCCAGGGAGCTGAGTATGTGTTCCATATGTGTTTGATCCAATGACCGGGGTAGTAATGTGAAGTGCTTAGAGGCATTGTGCATGAAGCGCTATATTAAAGCGACATATTATTAATTAAACAACAGCGCCAACTTACCGAAGGTTTATAGTGTTTATCTCTTATAAATGGCAGGAAAGAGGCATTCACTCTTGGAACTGGTGGTGGCTTTATTTTTGGCTCTTCAAGTAGAGTGTTTAAGTCCGGTGGTATATTATTGATTTCCTTAATTGTTTTGGATGCAAAAACTTGTAATTTCTTTACAGTCTTAACAGCCGATTTGTTATTTGGTTGTACTTGATGACTATCTTTTGAATTATGAGATTTGTTATCAAACAGATCTTGGATGTTGAGTCTGTCATTAATTTTCGCTAACAGTAATGAAATTTCATTGAGTTGAATATCCTGATCTTGAGTATTCTTCTTTAACACGCTACCAGTTGATAAATACGTCCAATTATTACTAAATATATTCACAACAACATATGCAATAATAAATAAACAAATAACTGCTGGCAATGTACGAGCCCTTGTAACCCTAGAAAACATCTTGCAAATTACTCCGTCCAGATTTTGAAATACTAAAATTATTGTGAGGCCATCAAAGTCGTAAATGCATTTTTTCAATCAGTAAACTAACAACACCTGAAAAGAAAACAAAAAAACAACCGTTAGGATTAACTAAATATTGAAAAAAATAAATCATTGTCAATTATTTTATTTTTTTTAAATGTTGAAAATTATTGGAAAATACTGTTAAAAAGTAACTATTTCAATGAAATGTTCAAATGTGAAAGCTAAATACTTGATATTCACATATATCAAATCTACTATCTACAGAATCTATAATTATTGTAATCATCATCTTCAGACAAAATATTGTAAAAAAGTCATGTTTTTCTTCTGAAAATTAATTCAGATTTAAATAAAAAAGGATATGACACCTCTTTTTTTGGTGTAGGACTAAAGCCAGCAGGACAAAAGCCACCAGGACACAAGCTACCAGGACAAAACACACAGAAAAAAATGGACTATATCCATTTTGACAGTGGTATGTACAGTATGTGCTTTTGTATTAAAAGTAATTCTTAATATTATATTTCATTAACTTTACGTTGTTCACATAATAATCTGTTTTTTTATATTGACCCCCCACTTGGCACTGAAATATTTGTTGTGTCAGAATTAATAAATAAGTGCTTTGAATTAGAACTGGAAACTCATAATCTAAAGATCAAGATAAACTGCAATACACATGTAAAAGGGCCACTGAATAATCTCTTGATAACAAATAAATAAACTAAAATGCAACTGTATGGTCTGTTGGCTTGTCCTTGTGGCTATTGTCAGTATAGACCCCCCCCCCCACTTGGCACACTGAAATATTTGTTTATTTGTTGTGTCAGAATTAATAAATAAGTGCTTTGAATGAGAACTGGAAACTCATAATCTAAAGATCAAGATAAACTGCAATACACATGTAAAAGGGCCACTGAATAATCTCTTGATAATAAATAAATAAACTAAAATGCAACTGTATGGTCTGTTGGCTTGTCCTGGTGGCTATTGTCAGTATACAGCAGTTGGCTTTGTCAGGTCATGGTCACCTCTATGATCATAATGGATTGGATTGGATTAGATTTATTCGGTGTAAACACCAAAGATAGCCCACGAAAGTCTAGAAGACGACTTATTTACAGTGGGGACCTTCTGGTGGTGATTGGGCAGTACACCGGGAGATAATCCCCTACTCTTTTCCGAAGAGTGTGCTGCGTTCTTTAACGTGCACATGGGCTATATTGCACACAGGACCAACGGCTTAAACGTCTCATCCAAAAGACAGTGCGCTATCGTAACTTGTATTTCAGCCCTCTAGCTGAAACACAAGGAGAGGCAGCGATGGGAATTGAACCGGGGACATAGAGATCTCCACAGTTCAGCGCACACACAGTGGCTACCACCAGATTAGCCGACTGAGCTAAGCTGCTCTCTAATATTATATTATAATAATATTATAATATTTTACTTCAAAAAGATTGCTACAAAACACAGTTACACACAGACCGACTGTAAATACAAAGCTCACATACTGTACAAATAAGAATGAATACAGTACAGGATAAACAATTGGTGATCTGCTAAAATTTTACAAATTTCAAATTATGAAATTATTTCAATATCTATTGATTCCTGAGTTTCAGAATAAAAAAGTACAGCCTATTTTCTAGATCATATACTTTCATTTTCATTCAGTAAAGTTTTTAGTCATCACACATTGTTTAGGTTATAATTTTTTTATACCTTGTTCAGCGAACCTCTAACCACCAATAATGGTGATTTTGAATAAATATATAATTTATTTTTGGCCAGTTAGCACATCCCCTCTGCCACGAAAAATGGTAATTTCAGAAAAAAAAAAATTATTCATTTTCATTAAGCCCTCACTACCTGAATTCTAAATTAAGATTATTTCTTCAATAATATAAATTAGTATGTCATTACTACAATTGTTTAAATTCATCAATAAGATGTTATTTTCTCCTCCGCCTACTGCAGATGCTTTTGACAAAATCATTTTGGTAAATAAGAAAACAATTTTATTTTTTTCCACCATCTGACGATCTTCAAAAAAATGTCGCTAAATGTGCATTAAAGTCTTGCTATAATTACCATGATTAAATTTCAGTTCGCATATTTTGAGCACCACTGAACATTTATCTTGCACTACGAATATTGGCACTACATAAATGATTGCTTGATTGAATTTATAAATGTATGTCAGTAGACACAAAACATATAATCACAAATTATTTGTTTTTAAACCTTTACATAATGGCAGTAGTATATTAGTATATTAGTATATTAAATTGAAGATGCAACTGTATTTAGGTTTCAAAATTAAAAGCCAACTTTGAATCAGGGGTAGCGTCAGCAGTTGGGCCGGTATAACTAAAAGAATCAATATCAATTCAAATCAATGGTACACATTGTAGAAAGCTCAATAATAGTATTAGAAGGATAACCGCTTACTTTGTCAACCAAACTTGAAGCTGTGTAAATTTGCTCTAAGTAAACACTTAAAAGATTGGATCAAACATGTACTCTGTATTGTTCAAAATAGTTACTTGGCTAATGTACAATGGCAAAGTTAATCAATTACAGCGTAACAGGTGGGACATTTTTTTCAATAAAGAAAAACCAATTAAATTATAATAGGCCTACTACAATTACTGTATATAACATATATTTGGGTAGTAGTATTATAATACAGAGGTTCATATCAATTATCAATTTTAAATAAGACACACACAACCAATTTTATGAATTTCTAACAAAATCATAGATCACGTGTTATGTAAATAAAATGTTATGCAGCCACTTAAAATGTACACTGGACTCTTATTTAATTTTATTACACTATTATTGTCATTATTTATTTTTATCAAATAAAAAAAAAAATAATAATAATATTAATAATTATTATTATCATTATTAATTTTACTATCATTGCAGTAATATTAAATGAGTGTATAATTTAATGAACCCCAACCTACAGCCATAATATCAGCACTGGTTCGAGCAGCACACTTATCTATGGGGTTTCTTTTTTTTTACTTCTCTTTCGGAACGAACAGATATCTTTCCAGAGTTGTCAGGCTTTTGGCCTTGACAGGGTCTAGAACTAGCTTAGGCCTACAGTAGCTAAGCTTCGTAAAATCTGTGCGGAAATCTGCCCTTGTTTTCCAAAATGCATGGATGGATGCATCGAGGCCAAATTTTTTAAAAAGTTCCATTTTGTATTTGACAGAATTGTCTGCGCTAAGCTTCCAGCAAACTTATACCCTATTCAGACTACACTCTGTTGCGATCGGTTGTGATGTAATCGGTGGTAATCCAAAACTGATTACTCCCGATCGCAATCAACGAACGCATTCAGACCAACACAAACAAACTTTACATTCTAGGGCCTAGACCTCCGGTGGCTAGGCCTATATTGACTGACCTCAGCCAAACAATGCCTGTGGAATTCGTTGTGATTCGTTGCGATCGGATTCCGTGGTAATCGGGAGTAATAAAGATTGTAGCACACAATCGCAACGGGTAACAATTGCGATATCGATTACACATCGACTACTATTGGTGAGCTTTCACACACGATTTTACTTTGTGATTGGGTGTCGCAATTGCTACAACTGATCGCAATGCGATGCTAGTCTGAATGGGGTATTAGTATTTTATTAAAATGTTATTGATAATTATTAATATATTTGAATAATTTTATCTGATTTACTTTATTATGATTGTAGAGCTGTTTCATCGATAACAAACCAAGTGTTCTTCTAGTCGCATTTCAAAGTTTTTCTTTTGCGATCTGCCCCGATGTTGGTCTGTAGAGAGGATACAGGCAAAGCAACTAGAGAAGGTGGCTTGGTTTATTATTGAAGGTTCTACAATCTTAAAGCAAACCAGATGAGAATATACAGTATTAATAATTATCAATATAATTTTAATAAAACACTAGATTCAGTTTGCTGAAAGCTAGCGCAAGACAATTCCGTTGATACAAAATGCAAGGTATGTAACAGACCTACTGTAATAAGAAGAAAATCTAAACTTACAATGGAGTCAGAAACTTCTACAGTACACGTACTGTATACAGTAAACAATCACAGGCAGGTAGATTACTAGATTCTACAGACTAGGTGACAATTTGTTTGTGTAAAATGAATCTCAAACAAGCTCCCTCCTCTACAGACAAAATGCTGTCTGATTGCAGAATTTAATATATGGCTTATATATTGCAGATAACATTTACAATCAATAATAGAATCATCAAAAATATAACAACACCAGTTATATCAAATAGCCAATGTAAATTTGTTAGTTTGGATTAGATTATACAAATATTGTACAGATCAGTTTGTGTTTGAGAGAAGGTTTAAACAGGTGTGTACAAAAATTGAAAGAGAGAGGCGTAGAAGAAGCAAAAATTATGAGTTCATTCAGGCAACTCTGGACTATATCTGCATATTGTTTTTACATCAACTACACTGGCCAGACTTTGAGTCAATGGCCGGGGGAGGGGGGCGTTGAGGGCCCCCGACAGGGAGAAAAAAAACCACAATTCCATCAGGGAGAAAAAAAATTATATGTATACATATTAATAGTAGACCTTAAAATCAATTGTAGCCTTTGAAACCCCTAAGTTTCTAAACATTTTAAGTGACGCTCGACCACGCCCTCTTTCCTCTCATAGGGGAAACCTCCCCCTCGTCGGATCCCAAGTCAGGAAAATTCTGGCGCCACCCCTGAACAGGAAATTCGCCTATCATGAATCTGGTGGTGGAACAAATCTTCTTGGATAAGGACTATAAACCGTACAGTAGGCCCAGTGACATACTTTGGCTCATGTGCACTTAAAAAACCCAGTACATTTATCAAGAAGAGTAGGGGTTACCCCGGTGTACTGGTCCATTCAGCCCCTGCTGGGTACAGATAAGAGTAGCTGGTACCAGTCTCCTAGGGGGAGAAGAAAGTTACTTTATGAGCTAGTCCACACCTCGAGTGCTTTGAGACTCCGGTATAAAGCGCTACATAAATCGAACTACATCAGATGAAACCTCCTCTACAAAAATAAAAGGTCTAGGGGTCTAGAGAGTGAAAAACCGAGTTTCTGTTCTGCATACATACATGCCAACATTTTGGTAGTAAAAAACAGTAAATCACCAAAGGTCTGGGCCTGTGAAAGGGGGTAGGATTAATGGATTATAAGGGTAAATCTCATGATTCTTTGTGTATTTCAATAATAAAATTATTGATTTTAACTTGTGTGTTTGATTTTGACTTAATAGGCGTGTCCCCTTAATATAGGTTTGGCTGTAGTGTTAAAAGAGATATTTAATAATAAAATAATAATAGTGAAGTTTTATATAGAGCACATCCATCTAATATAAGACTCAACCAATTTCCCCTTATTTCACGGGGAAATGTCCCCTTAATAGGGGGTCCCGAAGGAGTAGTTCTACTGTACAAACATTATTCAACCGCTTTTGATGTGTTGCTTGAGCGATAAAAACGGCATGCTGACTAAGAGTAGTACACACTGCCTGCACATACACAGCAATTTTATGAAGCTCATCAATTTGTAAATTGGGTGACAACAGCCAAACATTAACAATAACATAAGGCCAAGAGAATGAAAGTTGTAGGTTTGCGTCCGAAAAATTTTGAAAACACATGAGGCATTTTTTCATTTTTCATTATTCATTTTTTTTTTTATAAATGCTGTCCACAAGCTGCGGCATTGGTAATTTTACATTTATTCCCAAGAAACAATGCTTAGTCATAAATGTACACTAGCCTATAAAAAACAGATTCCTTTTCTACATTTAAGACCTCTTTAAACATACGAGATTTCCTATTGGTCAGAAAGATCGATTTGACCCGTAAATGACCTCAGCAGTGATCAGCGATCATGGTGCGATGTGGCCAGGCCTCCCTTCGCTCGGTGTTCACGACGAGTGATCAGTGATGAATAGATCGTTTTTCTGTCTGTTTACGGCTTAGAAAGTCCGTTTTTTTTAAATGAAGTATATTTTTTTTCAAAATAATGAACTTTTCAAAATAATGAAAATTTTCGTGCGGTAGCTTTTTAGGCATGCGGGCGGTGGACGCAAACCTACAACTTTCATTCCCGTGGCCAAACACAAATTAAAGACAATATCCATGTTGTCAACCGGACTTGTTTAAACTGTTTAACATTTATATGAAGACTTTCTGTATAATTTTTCTTTAGACCAACCCAAGGGCCAAGTTACTTAGGCCTACATCTCCCTGTTCTGACGACCCTACAAAAATTCATTCACGACCCAAACTTGGGTCACGACCCATGGGTTGCCTACCTACTACACACAACAGAGAGATAGCCTGGTTAGGCATAGAACTAGAGGGGCTAGGGCCTCGCCTAGGCCTACTACTATTACTCCAGGCAGACTAGGGCCTAGGGGGCCTAGCCTACCTACGTCGTGGATCGACCACCAAATCTCTATCTCTGAAAACCAAGATACTGTCTGTATCTGTCAAGACTTTTAAGTGCTCGTGTATTCTGCTGTACACATCAACTTATTCGTATAGCAGGTTTAGAATTTTAGTTCAAGCTTACGAATAAAACACAGACTTACAATGAATTCAGAGGCCTATCACCTTCTGTCCACCTAGGCCTAGGCATGGTCAAGGTCTAAAGTCTATAGTCAGTACTAGCATGCACAATCATAAAGCATAAAAAAGACGACGTAGCAGAAGGCAGTCTTCTTGAAGATCGATGATCAAGAATTACAAACAGGCGCCCTCTACTGACCATTCGCAACAAGTTTTGGTTACATAATAACTTTTGGGACCGGGGTTTTGGTGGTTTTTAGCAGATTTGGTCTCGAATTAGAATCCCTCTAATTAAGAGGAACATTTTCAGTTTTCTGCCAAACCTATCCATGGGTGTCAATGACCTGTTTCTACTGACGAGAAAGAACCGTTCTCTGTGGCAGTAGAAACAGGGGCCTACAAAAAGAACCGTTCTTTTTTTGCCGTCCCGAATCGGTCAGTGTTCCAGACTTACGATGTTATAATTTATTATTAAGAGTAATCAGTAAAACAAATGTTAAGCTTCTATGTTTTAAGCCGTATAACAACATTTATCAAAGAAAAGATAGCATTCACTATTTATTTTATAGTGGTCTTAATTTGGGAGGGAAAATTGTCATTTGGGTCCCGGCATAACCACGGTTGGTCTCTAAATAGAGGAAGTTTTTAATTGGAGGGAACAAATAATGTGAAAATAAAGGAATTCAAACGGGACGACAGAAAAGTGGTATTTCATTTTGGCTGATAATATTGCAGATGTAGCTATTACTGTTGAAATAATCTAATCAATAAATCGTCATTGGTCTAACGACGTCACTCATCCCTGATCAAATAGGCCTATGTGGGACGGATTTAATTGTTTCTGAAATAAAATGCGATTGAGTATAACCATCTGTTCTATTTTCTCTATGGTTTAACTTTGTGAGATAATGTAGGCCTACCTGACACTTTTTGTGTCATCTCACACGATATATTCAGAAACAAACATATTTGTCAGCTTTCTCACGACATAAAAAGTTAAAATTAATCATTTTTTTATTTCAGCAAATTTTTTTTATTTATGCAAAATTTACGACAAATATGGACAAAGAAGCGTTCCGGTTCGGTTATGGTCTGACCAATATTATATATCACCGCTCAATATTATAAATATATCCTTTGTATGCCAAATTGTCGCGTTTTATTTTTATTAGGCCTATTTTTTTTATTTATTTATTTATTTTTTGGTACAAAATTTCAAGCATACCTCAAGCATAGGCTAGGCCCTACCTCCACTGTACAAACTTCGAGGTCTGGTTAAGAGTTCCATCCATGTTTGCATGGAAGCACGTACACACGCACATCCACACACTTCTACATGGAAAAGATTCGAATCAAGAATATTAATATGAATTATTTGAAATTTTCTGTCGAAAAAGGAAGTGCTCCAGTCAGAGGGAATACTCTATAACTTCCAGTACGAACAATGCCTGTAGGAGTTTTTAAATTTTTAAAGTTGAAAAACACCAGTGTAGGCGCCATCAGCGCGGGGTCTTGGGGAAAAACTCTGGATCCTCCGTCGAGAAATAGTAGAGAACCTTCGAAGTCTCAAAGAACCATTCTTGGCATCTACTTTTAAATTTTCCTCTCCTTAGCCCAATCTTGCTGGACCTGAGGTGGATGCAGGGACGGCGCCAGAAAACCCTTGAACAGTTTGTTTTACCATTTCGCAATACTCTGTATTATTCCAACCAAATAAAATATGAATTGCATAATTCGGTCATTATTAAGGCATAAGGGCTACTAACTTCAAATGCAATTACTATAGCATTGCAAACCTGGGTGCTTGTGTTTGGGCCCACTCTATAACATGTTCTGTTATGCACTGTATTCATAAGTCAAAACTGAGGACATACTTTTTCCTAAATTTTATAATTTAGAACGTTGATGCCACCGGTGCGGGTTAGGCCCTGGAAGTTAAACCCCTGGACCTTCATCGGTAAATAGTAGAGAACACCACATTTAGTCTCAGAGAGTCATTCCGGGTAGGCCATGTAAGAATTTGCTCATCTCAGCTCTAACAATCATGATGGGGCTGAGTGGTGTGCATCCCTGTCGAGGAAGGATTCTCATCGAGGAGTCCCTGCACCGCCACTGGTAAATATCTCTAATGGGTCAATGGGAGTGGGGGAAGTCGCCCCTATTCAAAATGTCCGAAGCAAAAAAAGTCACGCTCAAGCAGTTAAAAAACACTTTATTTCTTATCTCATACATTTTTCGCTGATTTAATTGTGCATTCGTTCGTCGTTTACATTGATTTAATTACTTCTGTAGGCCTAAATTGAAAATTAAAGGTAAATAATGTATACTTAAGTTGGAAGTTTGGTTTTACTTTAGTTAAGTTACTTTTATTAATTGTAAATTTTGTTGCTTTTTTGTATTTAACTGAACCACTTAGGAAACCAGTATATTGTATTGAAAGTGTATTTCAAAATAAAGAATAAATAAATAAAGTGTACTTTCCCAAACGTCTACTTGATTTGCATTATAGTGTATTCTAGTGTATTCGACGGAGAAAAACATTCCCGATGATGGGCGTATAAACGAGAGTGAGTGATGAGGGTGCAGGTCAACTCGGCCACAAGTCAACTCGGCCACAGTCAACTCGGCCACAAGTCAACTCGGCCACAAATCAACTCGGCCACAAAAAGTTCGGCTACAGCCAACTCGGCCACAAGTCAACTGTCTCTTATACACATCTAGATGTGTATAAGATAATAATAACAACAATGACAACAATAATAACAGCAATAATAATAACAATAAGTATAGTAATACTTAAAGAATTAGTATTTTATACTTGATGAATTACTCCTTCAAAGTGTAGTACCAGTAAATGACTTTTGGCCGAGTTGACTTGTGGCCGAGTTGACCGTAGCCAAATTTGTTGTGGCCGAGTTGACTTGTGGCCGAGTTGACATGTGGCCGAGTTGACTGTGGCCGAGTTGACTTGTGGCCGAGTTGGATCGAATTCAGTGATGATATGCGCTCCATTATTAGCATAAACATAGATCCGTCTCTTGCCGTTAGGAGTAGATTGGTCGTTTTCCTGACGACTTTTCTGACGAAAAAGTTAATAAACGAGAGTGTACTGAACTCTCCGGGGCATGAAACACACCGTTAAAATCCATGGGAAATGTTTTACTCGACAATGAAAACATTAAAAATTCCCTGGCAGAAAATACATTCCCATGCCACGGACCACCCCGTAAGTGATTTTTTACGTAAACTTAGGCCGTCAATGTAGACAGCGAGCGATACACCTTTTGTTTTCTACCGGTACAAATCCAATCTACAATTGTTTTATGTTGCAGAACCGTCGCCGAACAACTTTTTCTCTTACTTTTATAAATGCAGAGGACAAAAAAAAAACAAAAAAAAACAAAAAAAAACTCCCACTGTGCTTTTATAAATTGACTGTTTCTGTTACGTCAATATTTTGTACTTAATTTTAAAACCTTCACATTTTTACCGGCGGCGTCGATTGTTTGTATCCAAATGTTTGATGTTAAACCAATCCTTTTTATAAAGTGCTGTAAATACAAAACAGCTACAATAGGTCAAAAAATAATAATATACACAATATAGGTAATATAACATAATTTAATGAGTGAGATTCTGGATGATGATAGGATGTGTGAAAGCTTGAGCCAAACGCCGATGCACTGAGTCTAACGCCGAATACATGAGATTTCTTTTTGGTTTTTTTTTCTTTTATTGTGGAAATAAGAAAATTGCATTCAAATTTAAGTAATATATTTGCCATTTTTGGTGCCATAAACGAAATGTTGTACCTCAATTACAATAAGTATGCTTTAAAGTTTACAACATGCTGAATCCAAAATCGAAAGTAGGACCTTTTGGTACATTTTCAAATCATGCGTTTCGATGAATTAAAAAATGTAAACAAATTTGACAACAAACATACTGTAATAATATTCACTACAATGTTTTATGTTTTTACAACAAAACAGAAGTTTGCTGGTATGGGATATGATCAGGATCACACCGTGCATGTGGGCGTAAAGAAATTTGACAACAAAACTACTGTAATAATATTCACTGCAATGTTACATGTTTTTACAACAAAACAGAAGTTTGCTGGTATGAGATATGATCAGGATCACACCGTGCATGTGGACGGTATGGAAAACACCCTTGTGAAATCAGTCTCTTAATTTAGCAAAAAACAGCAGATTGCGAAAGCTTCAATAATAATAATCATTTCATACTGAATCAAAATGAGAGATCAGACCACTGTCCATTAAAGCGAATTCAGTGAACAGCAATTCATTGACACAATACTCCCTTTTATTATACGATGATGACGGCAGGGGTTTCAAGTCTCTCGGAACTTGTGGAAGTCTCCCGGAAATCGGGAGCTCATTAACCATATCAGTGGCAAACTCAAGGGTGGTGGTGGCAGCCGGTCCGGGCCCCCTCAATATTTTAAAATTATAAACAAAAATAGCGTAGAAAAGGAAATTATATTCAAAATTAAGTATGAGAGGGCCATTTCCGAGCATCAAGATGTGCCATAATCATAAATTTTCTTACCTCAGCTCCAACAGCGGTGGGGCTGAGGTAACCCCCCAAAATGAGGGAATTAGACAAATATTGGCACCACTTCTGGTAACCACACACTTTTGATTTGTGACAAAATGACAAATACACATTTTAAAACTTGTTAAATAATAATTTTATTTTCTAATAATTTTCAATTTCAAAGAAAAAAAATTCAAAATATAGTAAAATGGCATTACCTAATATTGTTGACATATCTCTGAGCAAGCCACAAAGGCCTCTTAGGGACAATGGCTGACATGCAGTACTCTGAAATCAATGCTGAAGTTAAAATGTTCCTTAGAATAACATTCTTTAAAGTAATTTTATGAAAACTTTTTTAATAGAAATTTTAATGCAAACACCCCTTTAAGTTGCCACCAAAATAATCATGTTTCAAAACTTAACCTGTTTTACAAATCTATATTAAGCATTTAGAAAACCTTTTTTCAAAATTATAAATGCGAATTGCACAATCTTAGATATAGCACTTTACTAATCAATACGATCACATTAAATACAAACAATATTAGTGGATTTTTAAAGTTTTAAAATAGAGAGCAAAATTGTAATACTGTATAAAAGAAAAGAGGTATTGCGAAGGTTTGCTTCAGGAAGATCTTTTTAATGTATTTGTTAAAAATATGTGACAAATAATGTACTTAATTTAGTAACATAGTAACATAGACACTCTTGTATTCAGTTTATATAATACTAATGTAACTGGAAGAAATTATACAATTGAAAGTTTCACCACATCCAACATTATAAATTACAAACTAAAGGACGTCTTAATTAAAATTCAACAAAATTTATATTCTCTAGAGCTAAATAGAGAAACTTTGCTTACAATATTAAAAATATTAATTACCCTTTATTACCACAATTTACAATTTCTTGAAATTAATTATGAATATAATTTTGCTTAGTACTTCTACTGTCTCTTGCGTACTTCTACTGTCTCTCTTCCCTAAACTGAAATCTTGCCATTGTTTTTCACAGGTTTCTATATTTTACAATTGATTTATTTGTCAGTATTAGAAGTAGTATTTTGAGCAAAACCAGCACTTTATTTATATTTCAAACACTGGTAGCACCTGCCAGTAAATCAGGTGCAAAAACACCAAAATTGCTGCTTTTCTCCCATTTAAGAGAAACATGACTACACACAGGCCGTACAATAATGTGTTTATGCCTAAAAAGCAGAAAACAGAAAAATACAACAAAGACCATTTTAAAATCTATATTGAAGAGCAAAACGATCACATAACACTGTCGCATCGCCTACCGTCCAGCAAAATAGGTATATTCCAGCCTATTTAGCTCATTAAAAAAAAAATATTTTTCATTGTAGTCAAAAAAAAAAAAAAATTTCGTACATTTTGGGTTGGTCGAGCATGGCCAACACAATAATTATTTTTTTATTTGGCCTACGTAACATAAAAAAAAAAAAAAAAACAAAAAAAAAAAACATAGTTATAAACTCGCATTTCCTTGTATGCCCAATTGCACTGACATAATTCAGAGCAGGTTTTTTAAAGTGTTTAGTTAAAGACATGTCCAAAACTTTGGGTATATTTGAATTCCTTTAGGTAAACATAAAATTATGATTGATAACTTATTCTACAGTATAATAGTTAAAATTCATTGTATGATAGTAATCTAGCCTAATTGCTCATAATGAATGTTCTTGGTCATATATATACCAAACACTAAAAGTTGTTTTGATAAGATTGAAATTTTCATAATTTCATTTTTCTTTTTACTGTAGACTAAATTTTGTGCGCCTGTTTTGCCACTAAAATTTAAAACTTTAAATGCATGTCAATGTTATGTATGAAATAAGTGCTACTCGTTTTCTATTCTGAAAATGTTGTCGTCCCCCCCACTCCCACTCCAACTTTTGAAAAATTCTGGATCCGTACTAGATTCTGGATGAGCACTGTACTATGAAAGTACAGGATTTGGAATCAACAGCAAAATCCTAAAATTGACATGAATGACACTCAACAGCCAGGAATTAAAAAGCAAGTACCACCACTCAATAATATTAATTAGTTATTAATGGTTGTTCTGTTGAAAAGAGTTATTAGGCCTTCTTCATGCAACTTCCTCCAAAGGACACGTTCATTGTCCACATCATGGGCACTCATCTGTGCGTCTGTGTGCTCTACAAAATCTGTGTCATAATAATGAAGTGTGAACCGCTTATCGTAGCCAAAGCCATATATGTTGACCTCGTCACATAAATGTATTGCAAGGAACACAACCAGGGCACCTAAAACAGAGAGAATAAAAATAATAAACTTGAAATAAAACTAATTTTTCACTATTCAACATTTTTATACAGCAAAATATAGCTTTATTATGTATACATCAGAAAAGCAGAGTGAGTGTGTGTCTGTGTGTAAGTTTATTGTGGGGGGGTAGGTTAAAGTTCGCAGGTCAACACACGCTACATAACCATTTCTTAGATTATATCTAGGTATAAAAACACTAAATGTTCTCCACAATTTTATTGATGAAATGCAAAAGGTTACGATATAAATATTTTTGGGCTTGATTCAAGTAGTCTGGTGTCTTACCTAGCATAAATTTGGATTCTGAATTACAGTAGAACCTCGATTTTACGTACATGGGACTGGAGGGCGTACGTAAATAGGGAGATTCGTAAAATTGAGGTTGGGTTATATTTGTGGTAACCTTTGACCTAATACGTACGTAACGCTCAATAAACGAATGTTATGAAGAACGATGTTAACTACAGTAGGTTAGACCTAGCCTCTAGGCCTACAAATAAAACCATGTGTTTAGTGTTTTTATTTATCACTATATGATGTCATAATAAAGTGTTCAAATAAAACAATGTGTCTAGTGTTTTTATTTATCACTATACGATGTCATAATAAAGTGTTCAAATAAAACCATGTGTCTAGTGTTTTTATTTATCACTATACGATGTCATAATAAAGTGTTCAAATAAAACCATGTGTCAAGTGTTTTTATTTATCACTATACGATGTCATAATAAAGTGTTCAAATAAAACCATGTGTTTAGTGTTTTTATTTATCACTATACGATGTCATAATAAAGTGTTCAAATAAAACCATGTGTTCAGTGTTTTTATTTATCACTATACGATGTCATAATAAAGTGTTCAAATAAAACCATGTGTTTAGTGTTTTTATTTATCACTATACGATGTCATAATAAAGTGTTCAAATAAAACCATGTGTCTAGTGTATTAATTCATCACTTTATATCTTTTATTTAACTAAAGAACATGAAAATATTGTAAGATTACCTATACGACAAAGGTATAACTTGGGAATTCCCCTTCATGGCTATTCTAAACAACAGAGCTGTGGTGTTGTCTGGGCCTGCTGAGACAAACTAAAACCATGTGCGCTGCACTGGGCGAGCCAACCAATTAGCATTTGTGTACATGAAACACCAACCACGTGCACTGCACTGACCTAGCCAACGGAAATAGCGTTCATGTACAAAATTATGCCTACTCAGCTTCGTGTAGAAAATTTGACCAGACGAGTTTTCCCTCACGAAGCTAAGGAGGAAAGCAATTACAGGTATTTTGAGCACCATCGGTAGTTGTTCATCTCACTCAGGTCACGTGGTTTTAGATTATAACAACCTGGTACTAGACTCAATGAACGTTGCTTTTAAATGAAAATATGTTGCATTATGGTTTGTTATTGTTATAGTCTTTTTACTTATGGTTGCTCTGTAAAAGGCTGTTTGTTTTGAATATTTTCAGGGTTTTTGATGACGTCATCGCCGATACGAGGCGTAGGTAAAACCGAGAGTTCGTATAACAGAGCTACGTAAAAACGAGGTTCTACTGTAATTTGAATTGACCAAGGGGCCAATTTTTAGTGTTGGCGCACACCAAATAAAAAAATAAATGCAGGGCTTAAATATGTACACCTTTAAACATTTGATAGATTATGCTGGTGTTCTATCTACTTATCTACTCTTTACATAAACAGTATTAGCACAACGCAAGTAAAACTAACGAGATCTTACCAGTGGTAGGCCTAGCAGACTTGGCATCCAGGTAATGTGAGAATATGTAGCGCATAAAGTCCGGATGTAATATGCGTAATTGTTCAAGTTTAACCTTTGGCCTTTTTGGATGCCTGGTAAACAGGGAGCAAAAATATTACACATGGTAAATAAAAAGAAATTAATATAAATGATGAACAAAATCTATCTTACCTTATATTTTATAATTATTAATATTAATGATTACATTGTATTATCATTATTGTTATATGTATTTTTATACTAGTATTACATTGTTTTGATATTACTATATTAAAATATTATACTATTATTTTTATTATATAACTATATATCTTAATATTTTTATTACTATTTTTTAACTAAAAGAAGGTATGATACTTTTGCGACCATTACTTATGGACATAGTATATATGTTCGTTCAGTAAGTATACTTCACAAGATATGCGCTTGAAGGTTTTATTCTTTCTAGACTGCAAAAAATTTAGCATTTCGTTCAGCACATAATTCTTTAATGAACATTTCATTAAGGAATTATGACGTTACTTTATGTTTTAACAAATGTGTTCAGATTCATATTTATTCAGACAAGGCATACAGGTGGAAACAAGACAAAAATAATACATATATAGTAGATGCCATCAAAATCTAATGCAATTGTGTTTGGAGAAGCCAAATAAGCCCAAAGGGCTTTGACTGGTTTCACCAGAGAAAAAATGAAAATTAATCGGTTCCATGATCAAAGACAACACAAAACAATCATAAGTGAACAACAACAAAAGGAACAAGGAAAAGGTTTTTAATATATTATTACAGGACAAGGTATTAATTCATATCAGATATAATTGCTATAGTAACCATTGTGTTGTATCAAATATGTCCAGTTATACATCCTTATGAAACTCAACGTAATTGCATGGTATCATGATGTACTGTAGGTTTTGAGTGTTTTTTTTTTTATCCATTATTGAATAATAAACCAACTAAATGGTTACCATAGAAAATTCTGATTTTTATTGTATTACTGTATTGCAATAATATAAAACATGAGAAAAAAAAGTCTAGTCTAAAGAAGGAAAATAATAAGACGTCCATCACCAGGTATGGTTATTTATTTTTTGAATCAAGATTTTAAAATCATTCAGACGATTTGGCCAATTTTCTATGGTATTGTATAATAAACTCTATTCTACTGTGAAATTGTATAGGAAGAATACGCCTTGTATGTTCCACCGTATGGAAAGAGGAAACCTGGTCGCCAGCGCATTATGTTTTTACATTATATCCAGCGCCTTTTGGGTGATCCTGAGGGAATGCTGCAGCCACACCAAATTATCTCAATGGCCCAAGATCCCAAAAACTGGAAAAAACTTGTGGTCGTCTGCTCCGCAGCCGACTGATGATGATGACTGTGAAATAAATTCTTTTACCATATATGCAAAATAACAGCATATATGGTAAAAGAATAAGGATAAAAATGATAATCTACAAATAATGCTATCATGATTAACATGAAGTGGTGCTAAAAATACCAATTATAAAATATAGAGAAAAGTGATAATCAAAAAGCCAAAGGTGATGAATAGATTTTAAAAAGCAATGAAAATTGTGATCATGATTTAATAATGATTTAGTGATTCAAATCACTACTTTAAGTTCAATAATCATTCAAATCACTGTTTAAAAATGATCATTAAATGATCATTCAAATCACTGCTCAAATGACCATTCAAATAGCTACTTAAATGATCATTCAAATACCGGTAGCTACAACTGTGAAAGTCCCTCCCTGGGCCTCTGTATTTCAAATTCCTGTGATCTGCTACTGAAAACTATGAGTTTTTTTTATTCATTAATATAGTCTCAGAATGCACGATCAAAGAATTTAGGAGGACCCACAGACAACCAACTTTCGCGACAGGCCAACCACAAACATTAAGCTCTCTTCACATGTGCAAGATTTTTAAAAAGCACCTGGTGGTCTGACGAATTTCAAACAATATAAATGTAGTGCTTTTTTGCATTGTCTATATATTAATTAAAAAGTGACTAATTAAAATGGAGCCACGATATACTGTGATAACGTACAATGTTAAGTTCTTTTTTAATTTGTCACAATGTAGGCCTATGGTTAATCAAAAAACAATCACAAGCAGGATATATATGTATCTTGATTCTTATAACCCCTTATAACCAAATAACATTTATAATGAAATTATAATGTATTTCAAGTTCACAGTAAAAGCCATTTATTATTTATCAAAACCTATTATTTTAATAGTGGTATTACTGTTCCAAGTACTTTTTAACTAATTATTATTTTATTATCTTAACGAACATACTATTATTGGAGTGGGTGCCTTTGAAGACCTACATCTTGAAACTTACAAATCCACCACAAAATGTAAAAATAATCACAAATATAAAAACATTGTACATACAAATGTCAAAAAAAAAAAAAAGGCAGTAGACACTATGCTCTTTGTTTCAACCCCCGGATGTGTAACGTGGACATATAAGCGTGAAGTTGAAATTTGTAAGCGTGAGGGTGCAATTCATGTACAGTAATTGGTGATGTGACCTGCCAGGAAAACACTAGCCTGTCATCACGGTTTGGAAAGTTTGATATTAAAACGAGTACAAGTGGTTAAAAAAGGCTATTGACGCGTAGATGTAGCAAGTAGATGTAGCAAGTTACAAGACTGTTTGATTTTACTTTGACAATTATTGTAGGCCTAGGTAGAGTTACTAATTTTAATGTGTTACCGGAGAATTCTAAAAGCAAAATAAATTTTACCACTAGCTGTAGGATTAGTATTATTACGGTAGATGAAAATTTGTTTTGGGTTTGTTTTTTCCGTTGAGTTGCAGTTTACATTAACTTTCTTCAGTGTAGGTTAGCCTAGGCTGGTATCAGTTATTGGCCTGCTGGTCAGTCGTACAGTACGTCGTCAACTCGTAGAAGCCCTAGCTAGTAGTAGCAGTGTAGGTCGGCCACAGAGACTAGGTAGGCTAGGGCCTACTATTATTAAATTGGGAAAATCCATAAAATGAGTAGGTCAGTAGGAAATTTTTTTTTTTTTTTTTTAACTAATATTGTGTTTATGCCTAAAAAATAGAAAATATACAAAAATACAACTAAGACCATATTTAAATCTAGGCCTATGTTGAAGAGCAAAGCGATTGCATCGCCTACCATCGCAAGATAGGCCCATTCTACCCTTTTTAGCTCATTAAAAAAATATTTTTCGTTGTAGTAAAAAAAAAAAACATGTATACATGCCTAATACCCTGAAACATTTTGGGCTTGGATGCTCTCTGGGGCACTCAGAAATAGATCTCTAGTGCTCAAGTAGAAATGACGTAATGTAAGGCGCCATCAGTGTTAGACCTAAAAAAAAAATGTTATGTTGGCGTAACCTGACCAACCCTAAAAAATCGGCTGACCCTAGACATTTTAATTTAAATTTCACGATACAAGTTTATGTGTGTAAAGTGGGCGTGGCCGTGCTTCACTCAAAATGTTTAAAAAATAGTCAAAGGGGTGAAAAATATGACAATTATGGGCTTTAAAAGCTTATTTAATTGATGTTATAGATTCCAAGGCCTTTGCTAAATATTGTGGCAGTCAAAAAAAAAAAAAAAAAAAAATCCCTACCTACCTACCCTATTTTTTGGGGTCTGTTACGCCAACATAACATTTCTTTTTTTTTAGGCCTTAGTTACCTACTTGGATAACACACATGCGTAACTCTATTGTCTATTTGTTTGCTAGTAGGTATGGTCAAGGAAGCTCTCAACAGGCTTCTTCAACAACTGTATGCATGCAGAAGAAGCTGACTCCCAAGACAAAGTCCAATGGAGGAACAGTTCTATGTATAAAATATAGCATCTTTAATTTAGGAGTTCAATGCTTGTGGTAAGTAATGGCAGTGACAAACGATGAATTATGCAATTTCAGTGACAGTCAAACAGGACAGAAAAAATTGAGTTACAGTCGATACAAACTAGTATGACATGCATATCTTAATTGAGGGTGGTTTTTGTAATCTAGCATTGCTTTACAATACATTACACCAAAAGCTGGTGATAAGTAATGGCAGTGACAAATGAGAGTGAGAGCTGGTGCATTTAACTGGTACCAACGATGAATCATGCAACTTCCAATTTCAGTGACAGTCAAATGTGATTGTGATAAAAAGCGAGTTACAGTCGATACAAACCAGTATGACGTGCGTGTCTTCATTGTGGGTGGTTTTTGTAATCCTAGCATTGCTTTACCATACATTACGTCAAATGTCTTGAACATAGAAAATGTATACCATGCATTCTGGACAAATTATACATGCAGAAACAAGAGAAAATTATTTTTACAACAAAAATATTATTTATTAACATTAATCCCTTAACAGAGCTTTTTGAAATTTAACGTTTACACATGCTGTCAAAGAACATGGGTTTATTATAAAAAGAATTACTTGAATATAAAAAAAAATTAAGATTTCGATATTTTATTCAGCTTAAGCTCTGTCTACACTATCAAATTTTTATGTGACAAATACATGTAATATGCCCATATTTGGGTGTAGTATGACATCATCATGCCCATATATGGGAACATCACATAAAATGTGACAGTGTGGACAAACCATTATAGTGTCTTTATAGTATATTGTATACAAGTTATTGCATCATATCTGTCTATGAAACTTGAAACAAACTACTTGAACATCTGTAACCGAGCCTAAAACTGTGTGCAATTTTAGACACAAATGTCAGCATTGTCTGTCAACAACACCCTTGTTTAATAATTTTCAAAAGTTCACCAAATAAAGGGATTTTACTACAAACAAAAAATTACATTATATTATTACTTCTGAAAAACAAATCTTTATTTTAGTTTCAATGTATAAATAATGAACAGTAAAATGGGACTAGCTGGAGTGGCACGCCTAGTTGGAGTGGTACGCCTAGTTGTTAAGGGTGGTTCATACACTACTTTTTGGTACAACTGTTGCATACTGAATTGGAGGACTTTAGTTAAATTCACTCTGTACTGCACGACTTGCATCCCATACATTGGAACTGTGAGCAGGAGGCACAGAACACACAGGAGTGAGGCAGAAGCAAGAAGGCAAACGTTGGACTGTGTTTGGTTTATTGCACAGACAGAGGCCTACAGTATTTCTAGTTAATTGAATGTTTGTTGTTTTTGACATTTAATTGGATTGGACAGTTGCTTTATATATGTTGGATGAGTGTGTAAGTTAAAAATTATTTTGATAACATACTGCAGTTAATACACAAAAAGGTGTTGGGTCTAGGCCTAACAATCGGTACTCATCGTACTGCATGGTTGTTGCCAATGCCAGTTTCCACATTCAGGAGTGAAGCCACAATTATGTGTCTCATGATGGGTAGTCAGTCGTAGCCTAACCCTACGGCTGTAGAATGTAGAGCAATACCTTTCTACAAGATTGTCATGTATACTGTATGATATATATAATTGTTTAAATCAGTATGTGGTGACTTCTTTGCATTTAGTACTGCGATCTTTGCTATTGTTTGTTATTACCGATAGAATAAAGAGGTGAAAGCACTTGGTTAAAACAGTATCAACTTGTCTAATCCTAATTACATACCTTTTGTACAATTATAATACAGTTCAACTATAACTAGCAGTGACAGGGTGCTGGAACTCTCTGGGATTTTCACTCTATTGTTGATATTTTTATATTGTAATGTGTCATTCCTGACAATGCAAAGGGATTATAGATTTATGTTAAATCTACACTACTAAAAAATTCCTGGTTTATAACATGGCAAGTTTTATAAGAACTGGGTCACTTGGATGGCGCTGCACGCCAAAGTACACCTTTCTGGCTCTTCAAATCTATCAAATGAACAATATCGGCCCCTATTGATAGTTGAGAACCCCTGTTTAAAACAGTCGAATTATGCTAGCATTACAATTATGTTTAAGCCTAGAAGTAAAAACAAATTAATTGATACTGCTCCAGTTAGAATTATAAATTTTCACTGGTGTTACAGTACTGTATATTGAAGAGGAAATAATGTGATATATATAATATTATATTTTTGCAAATAAATGAAATACACAATTTTTTGATTAATCTACCGTGTGGTGATGAATGAAGGAATTAATATCTAGGAACTGAAATAGTGTACAGAGAATAAAATCAAACATGCTAAAAAGAATGTAGGGCTTTTGTTGAGTTTATCATAATAGAGTGTTTTTAACTGACCACGGGTTTCTCCTTGATGAGATGTATATGGGTGGCTGAATATTGTTAACCATGTTACTGCCAAAAGCTATATCATATTTCTTAAACATTCCATAAAAATACAGAACAGTCTTAAGAGAAAAAGAAAATAAAACTGAAAACATTACTATTCTAAGATATTTTTACGATAGGGGGTCACAGGGACATAAGATGATTATGAAAATGATGGTTTCAACGTACGGTAAAAAAAAATACTGCCCAAAATAAAACATTTTTATTTAAAATATAATAATGGATATTATTTTTATTACTGCTAAAAACGGATGTCTCTAAAAATATTTTCTTTTAAAAACTTTAACAATAAATTGTAATATATAAAAGCCTGAGTAAATTATTTGAATTATTTTGTTTTTATTTTCTCATTTTTATCATCGGTTCAAATTGTTTATACTATAAACATCAATTCCGATTTTATAGATGAAATAATTACCAATTTCTTATTAATCAATGCTATAAAAGCTACAGACTCTGGGAAACATATAGCGGAAACAGATGGTATTAGACAAGAATAAAAAATAAAAAAATCTAGAAAAAAATTCAAGAGCCCCACAGGAAAAAAGTATGGGAAAAGAATTGAGTTACGTTAACAATAAAAATGAAATTACCAAGGTTTCGTATATGTATAAAATACCGGAAGATCACTTCCAGTAAGAACATCATCAAAATACTGGAAATCAATTCCTTTCGCTCCCATAAATAGGAACAAGTTTTGCTGCGGCATGGTTAAGAGAAATGGATTCCATAAAATTGAAATTGAAAATGATCATTTAGCAACTCAAATCCAATTATAGGATCTATGATCAACTACAAAATAGTTCCACTACTTTCAATAAAATCTCTTCAATCAATCAATTAAGCATATAATAATCAATAACAATCAATAATTAAATCAATAAAATCAATGTATTATTAATTTAAAGTATAATTAATCATATCGATTATAATAAAAAATACAATATAAACAATTCAAACAACAACTGATGAACTACTAATGGTGAAAGTAGTTGTATAGCTGTGTTAATCTAAACAATAATTTAGTAATAAGACAAGATTTTTTTAATTCTTTGTTTCGCATACTTTATTTTTTTTTTAAGATCATCGGAGGAGGGTGGAATAAAAATTTTGTTTTCTTAGTTAGCACATAGTTTTGCCAAAAACATCCAAATAAAGGAGAAAATAAAAATAAAATTTTATTAGTGAATGTAAAATGGGATGATTTAATGCTTCAAATTGATTTAATTAGGAAGAAATATACATATCTTACCTTTTGGAGATTTCAAGGCATCAGAGGGCGTAATAAAAATAAAGAAAAACTTTTGCCTTTTTTAAAATGAAATTTCCATTTTTTCATGCCAGTGGGTGCACTAATTGGCCAAATATGAAATTTTATTTTTATTCAAAATCATTATTTATTTATTTATTCAACTGAACATACACTTTTGTTTAAGTGGCACACAACATTTCGGTGCGTTCAATGAGAAAGAAAAAACAACTAAACTAAAAGAGTTATACAAAACAATTATACAATAACAGTATTCAATACTGTATTGGTGTTGAAACAAAATCCACTAAATAAAAAACAACATTACTGTAGTAATACTGTAGTAATACTATTTTTAGAGTTAAAAAATTATTACGTTATTAAGATACAGATAAGCACAAAAA